TAAAAAAATTAAAAAAAAAATTAAAACAATGCAACAAATATATTGCATGAATTAATAAACAGCTATTAATGAGCTTCAATTTCAAATAAATGTTACATTTTATAATTTTATATTATGTATGTTATGTATATTAAACAGTCTTTATGTTAGTACTTTAAAAAAAATTTATAATTGTAATTTGTGCGAATATGTTAAACAAAAAATTTCAACCCTCACGTACAAGTTGTAATCCATGTGACACACAACTTCTGTGAACAGCTGGGTTTATTTATTGTATAAAATATGTAAATTTATACTGTAATACATTCTTGTGTCATAAATAAACTCTATTATTATTATTATTATTATCCCAGATTTAGCCATACGGCTCACACTCCCTCTAAGGGGAAAATTCACTCATCCCAGATACCTACGGTATCAAAAGGATTGAGCTCTGGTGGGACTCTTTCCGTGTTATCGAGCCCTAGGTGACTTGGTATGTCGGAGTATCTCCCAGAAATTTTCGCACACATCTGGAGGTCGCGAGGAGTACAGCTTTCTGCATGGCCTTATAAAGATGTTCACTTAGACCCAGTTGTTTTATGTTCGCTAGGAGGCTTTTGGAATAACACCAGTAGTAGATAGAACAATAGGTACTGTCTGGGTACTTTCCATTCTCCATTGTCTCTTGATTTGTATTTCCAGATCTCTATACTTGGCGATCTTTTCGTTGTATTTAACAAGCAAATTGTTAGTGTTAGGTATCGCCACATCAATAAGTGTTGTTTGCCTGGTAATTTTATTCACTAGTATGAGATCTGGTCTATTATGGGCCACTGGTTGGTCTGTGAGCACAGTGCGGTCCCAGTATAGCTTGTAGTTGTCATTTTCAAGCATTCTTTCAAGCATTCATTATTATTATTATTATTATTATTATTAATTAATATTTATTTCTACACAATCAATTTCAAGACATCCTTTGTGAAATGTTATGGAACACTTCTGGCATTTAACTCTAAACCTAACCAGAAAAAAATTTTTAGTACATTTAAAGCATATACCCTTATTCATAAAGTTCTGGACCTTCTGGAGCAAATCCTAATACTGACAGATTGTTAATGTGCTTTTGGAATTGATCTATTTCCATATTTTTTTCATAAGGCTGTCGATTATCTTCTTTATTTAAGAGCTTGTTTACTTTTAAGTCCTCCAAAATACTAGGTTTCTGCTTAAATAAAGGTGTTTCTTTGAGTACCTTAATCTTAGTATATCATTATTTTTTTTAAGAATTTTCTTTAGAAATCGTATTGCTTTATTTTCTAACTTTTGTTCGCTTCTGTGCATTTTTCTCTACTTCTCTTTTATAAATTGAAGAAGAAATTAAAAAGCTAGGTCTTTGCGTATTACGCATTCTCTTACGTTCGGGAGTTCTGACCCAAGCAAACAATCTTCCATGTTACTGCTCTTATTTATAGGGTTTTGACTAGTGGAGAAAACTGAATTAAAAGTTAAAATGGCAACGGATCATGTGATTGTTTCTTGATTATTTTTTGAGTAAAGTGCTAAACTTTGTATAACTTTTGTATTTTGTTCAGGAACTTCTTCCGAAAGAACATATTCATATTTTATATATATATATATATATATATATATATATATATATATATATACATATTCTATATTTTAAGTTAAAGTTATCGCTGCTCTCTCTTCTACTACATACATATGATCCAAAAATATTTCATCATAAATAGATTCAGTATTACCCTGAAACTTTTGCTAGTGTTATCAGAGTTTCCATTTTTTCTGGCTTTTTTAAAAGCTGATAAAGTATCTTTATCGCATGTGTTGCAAAAATCGGTCAAACTAATTGATTCTGTTGTGATTTCTATAAATTTATCTGCGGTATATTTTTAACCTAGGCATTTGCTGTAGTTGATACGATCCGCGTTCCAAGGACAGAAACCACATACTCTAAAACCACTTGATATAGCCGATGGTTTAACAGTATCTACCGCTTCTTTTTAAATTGGAGCAAAGTTACTCTTACTTAGTGGTTTAAATGGATTTTGTCTCTTTCAATTGAACAAAGCTCTTTTTCACGCATTTTTAAGTGGCTTGAAACTAGAGACGTCGGTGGGTTGAAGAACTCTGGTGGCATTTGAATATAATGCCACTAAAATTATTTCGAGATATGTACATATTTGACTTAGTTGGTATGGTAAATGTGTTTTGTACCCGTCTACCAACATTATAATTAGAAATGTACAATGTTGTTTTCTAAGTAAGGATATAATATCTTAGATAAATAATGATGAACAACATCTACCTTGCATCCAACTTTTTTCCATAGTCAATAACCCACCTGTCTGAAACATCTTCTGCAATGCTTTTGGGTAATCTTGTATAAGCATAAACGATTATCAGTGGCGTAGTAACTCCTGCAGGAGAAAATGTGAACATGACGGTAATATTTGTTTTCGATGGGCTTTTCTGTACGTGATAAACATTTTTGCAACTTTTGGTGCAATAACCCTATCTTTTTTCGGACAAAGGGTAAAATAAATTTTATCTTGGTTGTAGATTCTGCTAGGATCAAAAAGAATTTCAAAATAGTTATTTTATATTAATATACTTGTATATAATTAAACCACTTTCTGATATCATTTTCTGATACATTTCCACTGGCATTGTTTACAGCTTCAGGAATTATATTTGTTAACTTAGTGTCGTCTTAAAAACGATTGACACCAATGATCCCCAGGAACATTGTTTTTAAATGGATTTGGTCGGGGCATCTGATCCAAAAATGACTTAACAGAAGCATGGATGTCCTCTTTTTTTTTTCGGAATCCTGTTTCTGTGACAATCTACTACCCATTTTTCTAATACAGTTTCTTCTGAAATTCCTGAATAAGTATTTGGAGCATGTGCTACTTTTTTAAACTTTTCGCTCAGTCTAAATTGCAGAGTAACTCTAGGTATCCAATATTTAACTGCTGCTGTTGCCTTTGGCATTCCATTAATTATTTCCCATAAAGCTTCTTGAAGAATTTCTTCATTGTAGTTTTTTATATATTTGCTTTTCTTGTGTACCTTAGGCATTGCTTTGTTCCTGAAATTTTAGGTATCAATCACTAAATGTAAATAAATATCTCGGCTACCCTATTATTGGCAGCACTGCCAATCAATAGCATTTGCTATAATATGACATCCAATTGGCAATAACAAAAATAATTATGCTTATGTAGAAAATAAGTATAAAAACGAGAAACGGTAAAATGTAATCTAGAGATTATCCTGATATATCGATCTAGATATCACAGCCAATATTACAATTATAAACTTACCTCTAAAACCGATGATGCCTTACTGATATCAGGTAAAATATAAGGATAACCTAACGTCTAATCGTTACCATAAATCTTCTTATTTTTTACCATAAATATTACATGTTGCCAGATCATTATAAAAGTGGAAGTAAGTATTTACCGTGCTACAGTGCAATTGCTATTTATTTATTTAAAAATAAAGTGTCCACTGCCAATAATTGGGCTAGTGTCAACAATTGGGGGCTTTATCCTACTACCTATCAGAAGGAATATGCTTATCTTCTCTCTTTTAAAGTTTTTTCTTCGTTAGCCTCAAGACATGTTTCAGTCTATGTTAGACACCATAAGGTAGTGGTAATAATGACGACCGTTATCATCATCATTCAGTCGAATTTTCACATCCATTGTTGGATATAGGCCTCCTCCAAACGTCTCCAGTTCTCTCTATCTCTAGCTGCTGCAATCCAGTTTGTTTCTATTCTCTTTAGGTCGTCGGTCCATCGGGTGGGTGGTCTGCCTCGACTTCGCTTGTCGGCTCTTGGTCTCCACTCCAATAATCTCTTCGTCCATCTTCCGTCTTCCATTCTAGCAACATGTCCAGCCCACCTCCACTTTTGTTTATTGATTCGCAGTATAATATCGTCTACGCCAGTTCGTCGGCGTATCTCCTCATTTCTTACGCGATTTTTCAAGGTCAGGCTCAGCATTGATCTCTCCATTCGCCTTTGTGTTACCCTCAGTTTTTCGGCAGTAGCTTTCGTTAAAGTTAAGGTCTCTGCTCCGTAGGTCAAGACTGGTAAGATGAATTGGTTAAATGCCTTCCTTTTTAGGTGAATTGGGATATTTGTTTTAAAAATGTCTCTCATCCGTCCATATGCCGCCCATCCCAACGTGATTCGTCTATTTAGCTCGCAGGTTTGGTTGTCTCTGGTTATTCTAATTTCATGACCCAAGTATGTGTATTTATCGATTAATTCTACCTTTTTGTTATTGATCTGTATCTCTTCGCTGGGAACCATATTGGTCATCATTTTGGTTTTCTCGAAATTTATCTCCAGCCCAGTTTTTTGTAGTATGTCATTCAGTTCTTGGAGCATGTCTTTGATCTCTCCCAGATTATCTAACAGAAGCACGATATCGTCCGCAAAACGTAGATGGTTTAATCTTTCTCCATCGATGGATATTCCTTTCTGTTGCCATGTTAGTCTTTTAAATGCATACTCAAGAACGGTAATGAACAGCTTTGGTGACATGGTATCCACCTTGCCTGACTCCCCTTTTTATCTTTATTTTATTAGTTGCAGAATATAGACTTATGGTTGTTGTGGCATTTTCATATATATTTTTAATTATATTACAATATCTGTGGTCGATCCTGCAATCTTGTAGTGCTCTTAAGATGGATGGACGGTAGTTTCACGGTATCAAACGCCGTTAACTAGTTCTTAAATTGTGGCATGTAGAATTTAAATATTGTTTTATATAGTTAAACCATAATTGATTAGAGAGGCATTGCATTTAGAATTACATTTTTTATTTCCTTTTACGTTTACATTTCCAATCCAGAAATCGTGTTTCTGTAATACTGTGAAGCATTGTGAACTAATCTCATATCAAATAACATTTGACTATAAACAACTCTTATACCAATTTACAAATATTTAGTAATATATTTTTCTTCTGTTTCAGTGCAACCCTGTTACGTGGCACGTGTCAGTGGACTTTCAGCTTTATGTTATAAATTTATTTTTACTGTACATCAAGCTTAAATTTAACTTTAATACTATTAAATTTTGTGCTACGATACTGACATTTTCCATGATTTTGCATGGAATAACTTTACAACTATTCAATACTGGTCCTCTTTACCTGGCATCATTGAGGTAAACTTACTTTTCACTTAACTGATTGCTTGTTATTTTATGTTTAATGTATATTATTCTTATATTCTTATCTAAACCATTTTTATTTAAATATCCGTAGAAATTATATTATTAGACTAAACAATAATTAATTGTACTAAAACAAATTAAAAATACTAAATACAATAAGCTTTAGCTTCAGTGATAGAGGAGATCTTCTTAATTAGACGGACCCAGGAAGATAAAAAACAATAATTACGCTTTAAAACTTTTATTTAAGCAAGTAGATATATGGTTATTTTTTACTATATATGTGCTACTCTGAGTATGTTTATACTCAATAATCTCTCTGCTACATTATTTTGCAGAAGACTGGTATATTTTGTACACGCTTTTAGCTCGTTTATTTGCTAGATTATTCTTTTTCTACGAATTTCTAGTATTTATCTATATTAAAATTGCTTTTTGAGGGAGAGGAGCACAATATGGATAGTCCGAATAAGAATAAACACCTACTATTTCAAAAAATGGTCGAAGAGATGCACCCAACAATAATTCTAAAGCACTCGTGCATGTCAATAGTCAAAACACACTAAAAGACCGTCTAAGTAATACTTGGAACATTCTCACCAAGCATTACAGACTAGCCTATGGTATTACGGGTGCAATGAGAACATGACCAACGGTTACTATGGAAGGTGTTATTCACATTACCCCATTTACATATATATTCACCCCTTTATATTCTAAGCATAGAGACAGAGACCATAAATTATATTAATATTATTATTAAAATATTAATTAATATTAATATAAACAAGTAAAGATTAATAATTATCAAGTACTAGACCCAACTCTGGCTAATGAGTGAAGTAAGATGGCTTGGTTTAGGAAAACAAAAAACAAACGATGGATACATCTATTGGTCGAGAGGAATTGACCCAGAACATCAATTTGAAACGGCTATATTAGTATCAGACAAAATTGTGCAGTCAGTCATTGTCTTTATCCCTCTAAATGATAGAGTAGCAGTGCTGAAATTAAGAACAACCCATAGAAACCTAAATGTTATTCAGGTCTATGCTGCAACAAGTGACAAATCAGAGGAAGAAATTAAAAACTTTTATAACAATATAAATGAAATGCGACTGACAAAAGAAGGCGAGATACCGATGATAATGGGTAACTTTAATGCCAAAATTTGGTCGTAGTCTGCCAAAGCAGAACTCATAGGAGCACACGGTCTTTTTATACGGACTTGATTTTGCTCAATACCAACTTTAGGAAGTACATAAAATCTAGTAAAACATCTTATGATGATTAATGTATCTAGATATTAATAAATCTAGTAAGAAATTACACGTAAACATATAAAATAACAGTAACAAGCAGCAATATTAAGAAATAATAATAACGAGATAATTATAGGTACAGAAGACAAATTGGAGAGACGAAAAGAGTACATTCAGACACATTTTGACGATGTGACGGTCCTAAAATAATAAAAGAAGAAGTTACTTATACAGTAAAAGCTCAGAAAAATGGAAAAGCTACCGGCCTCAACAATATCAATGTCGAAATACTTAAATTAATTGCAGACAACGAAAGTAAAAGACTCAACTTAATAACAGCACTATTCAATAGGATATATAACACTATCAAATAAAATACCATCAGACTGTCTAAATCAATATTCATAACATTGCTAAAAAATTCAATGCCTCATGCCATTAAAACTTTTTCTCAGAATCATTCATACACGAATTAACAGGAAGTGTGAATTTCAGATGAGTGACACTCAATTAGGATTGCAAATTTTACTGGGAACACGAGAAGCTCTTTTTGCCTTTTACCATATACATGTTATATTGGTTATTCAAATATGATCGAAATTCTGAGAACAACTGGAATTGACGAACAAGACTTGCGAATTATCTCAGAAATATTGGCACCAAACGGAAATAATTAAAACAGAACACACAACATCCAAAGATATACGAATCAGACGAGAAGTGCCACAAGGTTGCATCTAATCACCGCTAATATTTAACCTGTATTCAGATCTATATTCAGAAAAGTATTAGACGAGGATCAACGTGGAATCAAGATTACCGGAACCAGCATGGATAATGTAAGGTATGCTGATAATACCGTCTTAATAGCAAGCAACGCACAAGAACTACAAAATATAATAAATGCGGTATGTCGTCATAGCGAAATGTTCGGTTTGCATCTAAATGTTTCCAAAACTAAAATTTTAGTATTTTCAAAGATACCAACAAACGTACATTTATATGGCAAGGGACAAATTTTAGAACAGGTAACTTCCCTAAAATATTTGGAAGCAAATATCACCAGCCACTGAAATGCAAAAAAAAAGAAATCTTATCAAAAAGCTAACCAGCGAGGAAACCACTCTTGAACACGAACACATTTTTTACAAGATCGAACCTTTATCTAGAGCTTAAAATTCGAATGATCAGATGTTCCATTTTCTGTTTTTTGTTGTATAGCTGACAAATTTGGACAATGGACTCTAAAACAAACAAAAAAAAAAGAATAGTTGTCTTTGAAATGTCTATATACAGACAGATGCTGTGAATTCCATGGATACAAAAAGTTACCAATGGTGAAGTACTTCGGCTGAAAGATATGAATTGCTTCAAATCAGATTGGAAGGTAAAGTTCAGGGTAAAAAATCAGTTGAAAGACGCCAGAACTCGTGGCTGAAAGACCTGATAAGATGGTTTGAACGCTGATCCACAGAAATCTTGCGTGCAGAATTTTCTAAAGTTACAATTGCCATTTTGGTCGCCAAGCTTCTAAAGAAGATGGCGCAGTAAGAAGAAGACCCGACTCTATATTTAACTTTGATAAAAGTCCGTATTGAACGCTGTGTCAAATAAGTGTGTGACATAAAACTTTGCGAATGAATTTAAGTTATATTGCAAAACCGAATGGGTTATCTACAATATTTCTAAAGTAAACAATAATACCATGCTATACACAGAAGGCTCTAAATAGTACATGAAACTATATTGGGCGTGTATGGTCCCAGAAATAAACTCTTGAAAGCTCAAACAAAGGGACAAGCATATTTTAAACGGACATTTACGTTATAGCAAAATTTGCCCAGTGAAACTTAAGTAAGATACAAGATACTCTCTCTCGTGCAAGATACAAGAGAGACTGTAAGGGAAAATCGACTGGAAGGGAAAAACGGGACAGACTTCTACTACAAATGTGGCAAAGAGGGTCACCAGTCATGGGAATTCAGTAACCAGGAGGCTTTTTGCCTCACTTGTAAAAAATCCGGGTACAAAGTCGACAGCTAACGATGCCCGAAGTATACAAAATCGAAATCCTAGAAAAACGAAAGCTCAAGCGAAACTCTATCAGAAGTGAGGAGGAAAGAGCGGGTGAAAGTACTTAGGACCAGAAATCAGACAGTGTACGAGTAAGTAAGTTAAAGAGATAAGAACCATTCATTACAAAGTTTCTACTAATAAATGTGGGAAGAATGAATAAAGTTGGTCTCTCGACAGGGGATAGATAAAAAATCTGACGCCGTATACGTGGTGAATCGAGGAGCTGGCATTACGAGATACTATTAACAATGGTCTCAAGATATGTATTAATTGAATATTTATGTCTAATTTCTACTATTTGATTATTAATTTGCCTACTCTTAAAACAATTACACTTAAAATTACAAAATAAAATAATAAAATAAATAAAAGTTTATTTTGTTATCGTCTTTACTAGACGAAATGAGTACAAAAATGATTGCAATTTACATGGGTAAATTGTTAATGCATAGTGCAATATAAATATTTCCAGCAACGCTCTAAATGGCTTAATTAAGCTTGGGTATACAGTTTACTTTAATTGCTATCAAAATTTAACTTTAAAAATATATTTAATAAAATTAGACATTCTGAATTGAAATGGATTACTTTTCATGTCAGATTACCTGCAAATTCAATTTTTTTAGATTTTGTCTCTTTGCCTGCATTATACGGAGGTAGAATTCTCAATAAAAAAAAATTTGAGCTTTAGCAACAATTGAAGAAAATTATACAACAGGACTACCATTGATTTTATGATCACTTACCTCATATATTAACCTTGTGCTTATTTCATTTTATATTTTCTGATATTAAATATTTTGAAGCATTCATTTTTCTGTTACAATAACCGATGTTTAATCCTTTTGTTACAGGTTTATTTGTATTAAAAATATAAATAAACTTTTTTCAGAAAATTGCCTATTTTCATTTTGCTTTAAAAATATTAGTTCGTAAAAAGCGTATTACCAATTTTATTTTAAACAAAAACAAAATTTCATCTAAAAACCAAAAATAGAACATTCAGATTCTATGTGAGTTTGCTAGTAGTTGTAAAAACGAATTTCTTGCCAATCGGTAACAAGTTTAATCACTCAAATTAGTTTTTTCGCTCTCCTGCAAAATTATATGAAATGGAGTTACGCATTATGCGAATTACACTGACGATATTATACGATATTATTCATTTTTGGCCGGTGTTTCTAGAAGTTCAGTTGAATTATGCTAATTATTGGGAGCGTTTGACTCGAGAATTTATTGTTTTGTTAATAAATTGTAATAATAGTTATTAATGATATTTTTGATAAAACGCAATAATGTAATCCATATAAACGTTTGTCAGTTTAAATCGTTATGCTTGTGATCATAAAATGAGGTAGAATAACAGAAAATTTAAATCAAATTTTATAAATAAATAAGCAAATTTTAATGAAACGCTTTTATATTGACGCTGTATTACTTTTCTTTTATAGTAAAATACTGAGGCCAGCGTTACCGAAATTTTAAAAATACCTATTCTTTAAATTTTAAAAATACAAAAAAAACATAAAGTACATTTAGCAAAGTACATATTTAGCAAATTTCCAACTGTAAACAAACGCACGTGTTGATATTCGAGCGTTCATTCGTCAAGAGGCTATTAAATATAATTTATCGCTTTAAGCCAGACGGATTTTCATTTTACAGGTCCAAACTTGTCAGTCTGTTTGAATTCAAATTGTAGCGTGTGGGTTTTTAAGTTAATATATTGTGTGTTATATGTTATAATTATTGTTTAAGTTATTTACTGGTCGTGTTATTTTTTAGAGTTTAGTTTAAGTGTTTAGTATTAAATTTTATATTGTGTAGTGAACTTTTAGTATCCAAACAAAGTATTTGTTGATCAAAAGGAAAAATAGCTTGCGATTACCACTTTAATAAAAGTAAGAAAAACCAATATTTTAATTTAGTAATGTTTCGAAAAGATTTATTTCCTTTTTAGTTTATTTATTTACGGTTTTTGCTGTAAATATTAAAGAACCGCTTGAATTGATATGAAATTTGGCATATACATACCTAACGGCAAAGAACAAAGTGATATTGTGCCAATGTGTGCTTTTGCCATGGAGGTGACTTTCACCCCTTCTCGAGTGTGAAAAAACATGCGTTCAAAATAAGTCAGAATTATATAATCTAATTAATATAACATAACATATTCTTAGCAAAAGTATAGCTTATAAAAAAGTTAAAATAAATTAAGTACGTATACCTATATGAAGTCTGTACACTCAGTAAAAGCACAGTTGTAGCTAATGAAAAGTAATTCAAATTTCAAATTAAATATTTCAACGAGAAATATTAAAAAAATTAAGTACTTTTCGGGGATAACTCGCTGTTGGTGAAAGTGCTTGTTTTTTTATACCCACTCATATTCACTCACAAATAACTTGAAAAGTATTGACTCAGTGAACAAAACTCTATAGAACAAATGCTGCTTTGAATTATTTAGTTTATCCAATTCCTGTTACATGTTACATATTAGCTATGTTTATGCCAAATGTCCTGTCAATCCCAGCTGTTCTTTGAGGAGGTTTTATTATGAGTCAATGAAATATTTTTGGACTTGAAAAAGAAAACAGAATGCAGTTTCATATATTTACTGATATTTTTGATAATGCTGGTTTTATTACAATACATATTATTTTTCCTTAGACTATTTTAACATTCTATCAATCAACTAAGTGCGTTAAGTTATTGAAGATAAATAGAATAACAAAAATGTCAATCACTGATACAGCCGATGAACTCCTTGATAATGATTTAACCCTCACTCCACATAAAAGAGACCAGTAAAGGGATATTTTGACGATAAAATGAAGGAAATGATTATAAATGTATGTAAATCGCAAATGTAGAAGAACCTTACATGTCGAAAAGTGCGATTTCTATTTTTATTTCAGAGAAACAATAAGAAGAATAATCCATCAATTCTTTTTTCAAAATGAAATAACCACAATAGACAAAGTTCTGAGGGTTAAAGATCCGGTTTTGCCTAACTTCATAGGAACTACGTTTTTTTAAATTATTGAAACAAATTTTAAGTTTTAACTTCGTCGTCAGCGAAATAGCATTTTGATGGACAGGGACGAAAGTGTCTTGTGAGAACGAGAATTTCTGATAAAAATTAAGTCCTACTTAACTAAAAACCACAAAATTAACTACTTAGATAATTCGGTAACGTCTTATAAATAAACGGTTTTAGATTGACTTTCTACGGGTTTAAAAAATAGGTAAATGTTTATGTGTTTCTACACTTCAAGTAAATTTTAAAATAATAAAGTTTTCAGGAAAAGCAGTAGACTAATAATCTGTCACATTGGCAGTGAAGATGGGTTTGTTCCAGACGGGCTGTGGGTGTTTAAATAAAAAAAGTGGGGACTACCATGAAGAGATGAACGGGAAATCTTTTGAAAATTGGTTCAAAAATATACTGCCCCGATTAGAAGACAACTCCATTATCGTATTGGACAACATGTCTTATCATTCCAGAAACTTTGTAAAAAATTCCAACTACTGCTTCTAGTAAAGCTGATATCCAAGCGTGGCTGAAATAAAAAAATATAGGGTTTGTGGACTCCATGTTAAAAGTGCAACTGCTGGCTATCGTTAAGGAACATAAGAGATAATATAATAAATATATCAGTGATGAGATGGCAAAAAGCCAAAATAGAGGAGTGTTAAGGCTACCCCTGAACCATTGTGAGCTCAATCCGATTAAGCTCATCTGGGCAGAAGTAAAAAACACTACTTTTAAGTTTGTAGATATAAAAAATATTTTTTATGATGCAATAAATAATATTAGTCCAACTACGTGGCAGAAATATGTGCAAAATATTAAACAAAAAGTCGAGTATAAAATGTGGAAGTTGGACAATATAAAAGAGAACCATATCGAACCCATTCTCAGAGAACCTCAGACTCAAAGTAATTTAAATCGTATGTTTTTATGCTTTTATAAACTTATGATAATGCTGCTTGGTTCAAAATGTTCACTTTGTTATGTATCTCTAAGTTAATGGATATTTTATTTTAGCACATTTTTCTCCAATGGAACATTAAATTTTGCTCACAATGATTAAATCTCAAATCATTCTTAAACTTATAGTTTCAAAAGTAAATAGTTTTAAAAATTATATGATACATCTCAGTAAGACCCTGTTTGGCTCTCACGTGCGTTTTTTTACAGTTGAGAATTTGTAAAATAAATGTAGTTTAGTATGAAGCTTCGCGCTAGTCTATATAGTATTCTTTCCTGTACCACTTTTTTTTTACTTAACTTGATTTAACCAAGAGTTTCTTACATTAACATTAACAAATATTTCTTTAATTATAATAAAAGATATGTATTTTTTAGATATTTAGAAGTCAGGTCTATATACCATTCATTACCATATGTGGTCGAATACATGTCAACTTCTACGTTATGGTCCTCAAGTTTAATTGGAGTAATATTTGGAATAATTTATATTAAAACGAAGAACCTTACTATAAAACCAAATACGGTACCAAATTTACATAATCTATTATTATGGACAATTGTTATCTTAAATATTGTATTTTTATGGCATTTAACGAAAATTGTTTATAATAAAAGTTACATTTTAAATTTGGAGCTTTCGATCTCCAATCTGGAAATCCTTTTTAAAAAAGATTATTTTAAAACTAAAAGTTATTTTATCCTGTAGTTGTTTAGTAATCCCAGCTTTATTTCAGCTAATTTAACAGAGGACCCGGCCTGAATTTTGTTATGTCTTAAATTCAAGTTCTGGGGGTGATGTTCTATACACGCGAATTGAAATCAAATTCTGAATTTTGCCGGTTTATTTAGTTAATTTTAAATGTAAATATATGACTTTCTATTAATCCATTACTGTGGGTCTAATCTTGTTTCTGACTTTTTCTTTTATTATTCAAGTATTTAGGAACCATAATATCGAACCAGGTAACAACAGAAGAAGATATAAACAACAGACTAAGACAAACAAGAAACTGTATAAGACAACTAAATTCAGTGTTGTGGGATAAGAACATTACGATAAAGACAAAAAAGAGAATATATAATACCCTGACAAGAAGTATCCTGACATATGGGTCCGAAAACTATACAATAAACAAGAGAAATAAAGGTAGAATAAGAGCAGTAGAAATGGAGTTCCTGAGGAGAAGCTGTAGACTTACAAAAAGAGACAGAATTGAAAACGCAGAGATTAAGCGAAGAATGGGAGTGCAATCAGACATAATCGACTATGTATATAGAGGAGAAGAGACTATCCTGGTACGGCCACGTCAGAAGAGCGGACAGAGGACGCTGGATAAACAAAATTACAGAATGGAGCCCGATCGGAAGAAGAAAGAGAGGAAGACCCCGAAGGTCATTCAGAGACGAAATCGACGAGGCTATGGAGAAAAGAACCCTGCGAGATGGAGACTGGAATGACAGGGAAAATTGAAGAAAACGGTTGAGTGAAGGAAGACAGTGAAAACTGTGGAAATCCTTAGTAGTAGTAATAGGGACAGAAAGGAAAAGAAAATAAAGACAGAGAAAGAGAAGAAAAACAGAGGGCGCCAACTACTTTTTAAATAAAAAAATAGTAAAAATTAAACTGGAGATAAAGAAATTAATAAATTAATAAAGAAATTACAATAAAATAATTATTTAAATATAAATTAATAGAGATGTGACGTTTATAACGTTACAATCTGAAAAAAATGTATATTGAACTAAATGTAGGTTTTCAGTATTTTATTGATGGTTTGTTTTACCATTGAACTGTACTAACTTGTATTGTTTTTATTTTGTTCTTTATTTGAGTATTTCGAATCATCTTAATAAGCTTATTTTTCGGGTAATATAAACTAAGGATCACAATTATCTTTAAGCTCTTCTAAATTTTTATTTGTATCAAAGATAAGTTATATGATCCTTATCTGATTTGTTTTCCGCTTGAGCCACTTCTTGAGCTTGCGTGGATTCATGATAAGTTTCATCTACAGGTTTGTTTTCTTGTTCTGGCAAATAATATACTTTTTGAGACAAATCATTATCAAAGGGGTCTTAAAAAAAGCGATCTTCGTTAACAATTTCTAATTGGTAAGGCACAGGGTACATAATTTCATTAACATTTATATCCGAACTGATTAAATTGGTTTTAACGATGTTCGTTTCTTGATTTAAAGCCATTGCCATTATTTTTTCTACTCTACTAGATATCTGAAAAAAATAACATTTATAAATAAAATGCTAAAATACATCACCGGTCATCAATACAGCACTCATTAGTTTGTAAAATCGTTTATTTTTTACTACTTTTTGCGAGTACGAAAAGGTAAATAGAATGATACTGTGAATAATTATGCACCAGCAATAGATCTAACTGCTCTAATGCTATATAACCCACGACACCAATTTGAGATTTACGTCATAATAAACAGTCGAATGGTTTTAGCAATATGTCGTATCCAACATATTATTTGAAATTACAATGTGGCGTATATAACCTCATTCTTTCAAAAACAAATATTTTTACTATAATATTACATTGTAGATAAATTAACACGCTTAATGAAAATAATGTACAGCAAAATGTAACTTACCTTCGACATCTTGAAAAAACAAACACCTTAAATGCAGTTCTTGATTATTGTAATGAAACACCCTGTAACTGTCAATAATCACGTTATGAAATCACAGGAGCGACTGTGGTATTCGCTCCGTGCATAACCATGGTAGGGGTATCTTGAAACGATAACAGCGTGCGTAGCGGCGAAATATGACAAAATTTGACCTATCATTTTACGCATAAATTTGATCAGAAATGGGTGAAAATACATGTTGCGTATTTAATTGTGCCAATAATAGCAAAAATAGTGAGTGTAGTTTTAATAGGTTTCCAAAGATAACTTATAAATTAGAGAAAAGAAAAAGATAGATTCGTGCTATTAATATGAAAAAGTAAAGATCAAATAATTTCATTTTTATGCAATTGAAATAGAAAAAAATCAAATAATTTACCTAAAATGATATTTATCATAAGACTTCAAGATAACTGCTGCCTGTTTAATGACTTTAGCTTTTATATCACAACTTTTACTATTATTGTTTTTAATTGAATGCTCTTCCACCTGAAAAACTTAAATTAACAGTAGTAGATTTTTCGGTTTCTTTTCCGTTTGGGATTGAAACGATTGTGATGAATGATTAAGAAGAATTATGCTGAATTTTTAGAAACCCAGTTTTTAATACTACATTTAATTTATGCATAAACTGAAAAAATATAATTAAAGAACTAATTATTAATAATGGTCAATTTCGTATGTATTTAAGATATGTTTAACCTCAAAGTAGGTGGTCCAAAATTGTTAGATGAAGACATATTAAAAATTTCGAAAAATAAAAATAAGCGGGTTTGTTAACGATATATTAAAATAGGTGCGAAAAAAATATTTTTAGTTAAATGTTTCTTACGCTATATTAGATATAGACGGAATAAGACCTATTGGAAAAATAATTGTGAAAAACGCTAGACCTAAAAAATTCTCGAATACGTCCTATTAGAATATTGGTATCAATATAACTACATAAACACACAAAGCGCAAATGCATAATACACAAACAAATAATTCAAAAATACACAAAATCAGAATTTAATATTTTGGTCGAAAGGTCGTAAGGTCGAGGACGAAAGTTATAGTTCATTAAAAATAGCTGAAAGTCTGAAAATAACCACGCCCATAATGCGCATTCGTCATCCGACGGATCTCACACTAAGCTTTCACTAATATCTACCGTTTGTGACGTGAGCAAGTCGGTACAGTCTGCGAAATATTTTTTGTAAGTACGAACCGCAAAGGAGAGTTATTTCCAAATTTGCAAATCTGTGTTGTGTACCTATATTAAACATATAGTTTCAATCGAATCTGAAGGGAAAAGTTTTAAATAATCAGACACGGGAAGTGATAGCAAATGTGATTAATCTTATGAGAAAGTAGGCCGAAGACAATAAACCGTGTAGAGATTTGAAAAAAGTACAGGAGCGTGTGGTATTGGCAACAGGTGTTAGTTTAAGAAGCGTTCAAAAAATTGCTCGAGAAATGCAATTAACCGAAGACGGCAAATGCTCCTCGTTCTTGGACGATTTTGATATATGGCGTCTTCGACGTTATATAATGGATTTTTGTCTAACACAAAAACAAGTGCTGTGAAACGCATACAAGGAACATTCGCAGACAACTACTCAGGTTCCATAGAAAGCCTACGAACAGTAATTAGAAAGATGGTATTTCGTTGGCGAAAAACCGGTACTAATAGATAATTAATAATGGAAAAGCCCAATATTCAGCAACTTAGACTGAAACGTTACAGGCATGCAAATGGCCCAATTATATACATAGATGAAACATACGTCCATTCATCTCATACCAAGCAAAAGAGCTGGTCTGATAGTTCAAACAAGGGTCTACAAAAACCTGTATCTAAAGAACAGATGCTTGTGATAGTGCATGCTGGAGGTGAAAGTGGTTTTGTTAAAAACGCTTATATGCGCTATAAACCTACTATAAAAACAGGAGATTATCATAATGCAATGAACTACGACAATTACAAAAAAAGGCTTCAAAGTATAAGCTGATAGCAAATTTTCCCCCGAACAGCGTTTTAGTAATTGATAAGACACCGTATCATAACGTAGAAACTAAGAAATGTCCAACTATGTCTTCCAGAAAAGCAGAAATGCAGCGGTGGCTGACAACTCGAAATATTTTGTTTACAGATGACGTGTTAAAATTTTAACTATACGACATTACAAAATTACACAAACCCCGATTTAAAACGTATGAAATTGACAAAATACTTGAGGATAGAGGATATTCAGTTTTACGGTTACCTCCGTATCATCCAGATTTGAATCCTATAAAGTTAGTACGGGTTTATATGAAGCAATATGTCGCTGAAAAAAATGTCAGTTTTGATCTTTAATTGGTGGAAAGTTTGTGTGATGAATATGAATTTTTTTATTCGTTTTCAGTCAAGCAATGAAAAAACAGGTGTAAACGGGTTAAAAAAAATAGAACAAAGTTATATGGCACAACAGCCAAATTTTGACAACGTGGTGGATCAAATTATCGTATACGTAGGTGTCGATATTGACAGTGATTCTGAAAATGACAAGATGGACTCTGATGCTGAGTCAGATGATTCAGAAATATAAACCTGAGACACTCATGTTACATTTCTTCAGAAACTGTTAGGTATTATAAGCTTTTAATATTTTTTTAGAAATATTGTTGTTTTTATTTAGATCTCCGCGGGCGATTGTAGCATTTGAAACGAAAGAAGTTTTAATTTCCCGCCTTAATCATTTATAGGGCCCACATACAGTGATTAATAATCACAGTGCAAAATATTTTGCATTCTTATTTTTAATATTTTATATATGACTTAATTATATAATACTAAATGTCTCATTTTTTTAAGAGTTTACACTTTTTTCATACTTTGGGTAAATATTTAAAAATTAAGACCTGACTGGTACAAACATATCATATTTATGCTTCACCGGAAACCAACATCTACCTTATTATTGCTTTAGACGATTGTATTACTACTTTGTTACGCTACTGCTTACGCCCTTTTTCTCCTCTTTTGGTCAATATAATCATAATATAAAATATAAATGGTCAATACAAAAATATAATTTTTAGTTTATAATGACATAATTTATAACAACACAAGCGGTTTTTGTTGAATCTATTTTTTTACATCTCACTTTGTAGAACAAATACCACAAAGATACTGAAATATGCTGAAGAAAAGTAATGACAGTAACCATAACTGTGTACGGGACCTATTAGAAACTATTTAAACTTTACGTTTTTATATTTGTGTCTCCGACTGTACCTATATTTTAAAGTTCACCCGGGTGTACAGGCGTACAGTTTTTCCTTTCGAGTGCGTTGCCACTTCATTGTTCGCACTGGCAGTTAGAATTTCAGACTTTCAGCAATTTTTGGTGAACTGTAACAGTAATTAAAAAATATATATAACTAGCTTAACAACTTGTTTGGTTATACTTTTTCGCACAATTTTTTTAATATAATCTTTTTTGAAAACGAACGCCCAAATGGAAATCTAAACGTTAATTAAAAATGTAATTTTTATTACAATAATTATTTCTAGCTTAATCCCATATAAACATAATATTTAACTTGTATATCCCCTAAACTTAGTGGATGAAAACCTCGAAAGTTTATTTAATTAGTTGCAATAAAAAAAAAAAAAAAGATGCATTTCTAGCCACGCAATTTAATTATTACATTTAGACATTATCTTATTTTTCAAATTAATATCATAAAAAGCGTAAATCGATGTTTATTTTCTCTTAAAAACTTTGCCTTTTCAAACACAAGTGGTTTTCACTCTGCAGCAACGATATCAAGTTTGTAAGTCATTAGTTTATACAAAATGTTTTTTAGGTACTAAATATAATATGGTGTAGTGCATCTGTTGGACTCATTTATTTGGCTATCAAAATGGGCTCCATTAAAATTAATGGAACCAAAGCATCCTTGCTTGGATGTATAATTAGGCCTATATTTTCTTTGGGATGTGCTTTAGGTGTTTATGGTATGTCGCATAACCTTGGAGGTAAATAACAATTTTTGGGTAGATGAAATATAAGTAAATACTTACTTTTAGATAAGCGTATTTGATTTTCTGTTATAAAATATCTATACATTACTTTAAAGAGTTACGTATGGAGAAGGTAAAGGTATTTAATTACAATCTCTACAATAAATAATATATTTAATGGTAATGACCAAATAATCAATGTAAACCTCAATGTAAAGTCTCATCCACGGTTATATACTTCGATGGAGTGTAATTTTTTCTGCAATTACTCTCCAATAAACTCCAGAATTCTCTGAATGAAGCAAATTTATCTATTCTCCTTCGTTGTTCCCTTGCGATCTTAGAATCGAAGCGAAGCACTCTCAACAAAAACTTAAAACGATTTTTGCTCATGACCCAACGAAATAAACTGGGACCAAAAACTGGAGACAACACATACAGTAATGTCAAGCCTGAATTTTTTAGTGCACCAAGCAAATATAGCAAGCCAATCTTCTTCGCGTGCCATATCAGAACTATCCGACGTTGGCGATCACCATTGCGAAGGCTTCGCGGTCTTCTGAAATATGAAATAATTGTCCTGCATTTGGTATCTGAGTCCATTCACGAATGTTTTTTAACCAAGAAACTTGTTTTCTGTCTACACCTCTACGGCCCTCTATTTTGCTTTAAGGATCAGTTGTAAAATTTTATTTCTACTTCCCCTTACTATATGTCCCAGATAAGACATTTTTCGATGTTTAACAGTCTTTAGCAGTTCGCTGTCTGTGTTGACGCTCCTTAGTACTTCTCCATTAGTTTTTCTTGCTGTCCAAGGTATCTTCAGCATTCGTCTTTTCTGTCCAAGGTATCTTCAGCCCAAGCTTTGCATCGGGATGTTGGTCACGACTAAACACTAAAAATTTGGTTTTGTTTTAATGCTCATGTCCTCTCGTACCTAGTGAATACGATTAAGCAGAATTTGAAGACCATTATCTGATAGAATTACGGTATCGTCTGCATATCTAATGACATTAAGTAGTTTTTTGTTGATTTTTATTCCATATTGTTGTCTCTCATGTGCCTTGATCTTGAGAAAAGACACTTGAGTGGCACTTGAGAGCAAGCCAATAAAGGACTTTATCTCTGTAACATCTGTTGAAGATGACGTAAGATGAGTAAGACTGTTCTGAATTATATGACGATAATTTCCTCTCAATTTCTTCATTAGTATAGTGAACAATCAGTTCAATCATCTCATCTGTTATAAAAAGATTAAAAATATTTATTTCGTCAGTAAGATCTTTGGCTTTACCCTTTGCTCCTGGAAGGTGAGTAATAATATTTCTCGAAGGAGTTCGAAAGTGCATACCACTTAATGGAATGTCAGTCCAAATTGTTTCATTGTCTGTACCCAAAAAAAGTTGCTCTCATCTAGTGGTTCATTTGCTAAAGGCACACTTCGTCATTTTCGTCACAGTCAGATGGTACATACTCGATATCCTTATAGTCATGATCCGATAAAATATTGTCCTCAATTTTACTTACACTGCAGTCTATGGATGAACCGCTTTCTCCATCTTCTATTTTAGAAATGTCGTCCAAAATTTCGTTTTTAGATAAATATCTTCGAATAAATTCCATTTAAAAAAGAATATTAAGCAAACCACACGGTAACGTCGTATCCAACATCAACACGTAAAAAAATCCGAACGAAAATCGTTTGACTCACCTTACTTCGTAAGCATCAAGAGAACGACTACTTAGGAGGGTACTAAACGGCAGTAGACGCCAACCCCACCCCACTACCTTATACGCATAAAATGTCAGACTAGATATCGGATCCGACGTAACCATGTGGTTCTAGGCTATCTGACCAACCTGTTGTATTTATATTCTCTGTATATTAAGAGGTATTATGAATACCATCTTTTTGTCTAGGATATTTATTGGAAAAATTATTTTTTTACACGTAGTTATCTGACTCATAATAACGGAGATACGATATAGTGCCGTTTTGACAAAGTCTTTGCGTTTGATTTTTGTCTTTACATATTCATTACCACTTTCTCTTTACATCGATACCTTGCATTTTGTTGTACGTTGAGCTGTTTAGACGTTACAAGCTTAGTGTTCTTTTGGCGATAGGTCGCCATCTTTATTTTGTGTGTTAACGTATTTGTTACGCCCCTTTTTCCGACGATACCTCATACGTCACGATATATCGAGCCCGCGCCTCCACAACGAAAAGCTCAAAAAATGACCCAAATGGACCTTAGCGATTTCTTTGGAGACTTAACATAGAAAATGAGCAATAACAACGTAGATCTAATTTTTTTATTTATTCTGTAAATTTACGTTTGAGAGAAGACAGACGAAAAGAAGAATTGACGCTATCGTTACGTTTGAGGGATAACATACTAAAAGAAGAAGAATTAACGTCATCTTTATATTTGAGAGATGACAGACAAAAAGAAAATAAATTTTCATGTTTAACAGATGATAGATGAAAAAGAAGAAAAATTGACGTCATCTTCACGTTTGAGGGATGTCAGACGAAATATGAAGAGTTGACGCCGTCTGCATTTTTAAGGGATGACAGACGAGAAAGAAGAATAATTAACGTCATCTTCACGTTTGAGGGATGACAGATGACAAGAACAAGAATTGACGCCATTTTCACGTTTGAGGGATGAAAGACGAAAAGAAGAAGAATTGACGCCAGGTTTACGTTTGAGGGATAACAGACGAAAAAGGAGAAGAATTGACGTCATCTTTACGTTTAAGAGATGATAGATAAAAAAGAAGAAGAATTGACGCAGTTATCACGTTTAAGAGTTAACAGTTGACATAAAAGTTGACAGTTGACAGGAGACGTGGTAGTTGACAGCTGTTAGCTGCCATATTGTGACGTCACACCGCAATATTTTCCCACGGGGAGGTGGCCCATACTCTACTTCCGTTGTTTTTGGAGTTACCGACCCATGTGTTGTTTGTATTGGATTTTGTTTGTTCTATGTTAACATCTTTCTCCTTCCAGCTAATATCTGGAGGTCTCCCCGCATGGTCCATATTCAGTTTTTAATAATTTAACACTTGAAGACTTAGTACCCGTCAAACAGAATTTTTAGAAATCTTCGCGTCTGCAATTTGTCTTGAATTAATTTGTGTCTCAGGATAACGAATAAAAAATTGAAATATTAAAAAAATCCATTTTCTAGCCAAACCATTCATTTTGGAACAAAGACTTACTAAAATAAAATAGCCGGTATTAAATTTTCTAACTGGTTAAAAATGAAGTGATTTATTACCCTTAGTGCAAAATAGCAGTAAATATAAAACAGGGGGAAAACAAGCCCAAAATTTATTAAAATTGATTTTTTAACTAATTTTGCATAATAGTTTTGCAATCTGAATTTTGTTAAACTGAAATTCATTAAAATGATGCACAACAAAAACTAGACCACAGAGAAGTTTGTCAATTTTTTTACTTATTAAAAAAGTATAAATACGAGAAGTAGTTCCTGAGAAACAACCGGCATTTGCGACGAAATTATGAACAATAGGATGATAATCTTGAAACGTTTCTTTTTGGGAGCACTTTAACAATAATTATTTTTGTATCTTTAATACGATATTCATAACTTTATGCTTTAGTTTTGTTACTAATAAATTTATTTATGTATACTCTAGTCGTCAGAGACGAAAATGACAATGAAGTTGTAAAAATCATATGAAAAAGCTAAATTTTATTACTTCTTCCCCCGGCTTCCCCCCAAAAATCACCCCACTCGTAGAGAAGAGAACGGAAAAATAGATTTATCAAGCATTTGTACATTGTAGAAAAAATATTTCAAATTTAAAATTTAGCCAAGACAATTTTGAACAAAAATGTATATCAAAACTTTTTGTGTTAAACGAACTATTCTCTCAGAAACAATACTTGAAGCGACCGGCGATTTTAAAGTTATTTTGTCAGATACGCACGCGAAATATATTTTTGCACGCTTTTAATAAAATTTGTGCACATGCAATTTTACCTATATGGTAAAAATTCAATATCTTTTGATCAGAGTATGCTACCGACAAAAATCAAAAAGTGTTTTAAAAGTGCAAAGTATAGCTTTTTATACAATTTATGAATTTTGTCGTAGTTAAAGTCAGTGTTTATAAAAGTGTTATCTAACTGAACGTTGTGAGATTTTTGCCATTTTTTACGATTCTCACAAAATTAATAAAATTTATCACTTTTATTAACCGTTAACGAACTACGGAATTTCTAATATTGAAGCCTAATCTTCAAAATCTATAGAATAAAATTACTGTTTTGTTTTTGGCAAGAAATGTGTCGCATTTGAAATAAGCCTAAAAAGGCTAAATTTATATTTTCACCTTGCCAACGATTGCACGTCAGGCAATATACTTTCACGATGAAAAGTCCTTTACAAAGACAGTATTAGTTGAAATTTATAGCTGAAGTTATGTAGTTTAGAAAAGCAGCTATAAATATTTTAAAACACTTGTAATGTGAAAATTTAAATTTAGTGGTTTTTAGAAATATTTCAAAAACCGAAATTTCATGCCATAGAATTTGAACTAGGGCTTTAGTTATTGAAATTTTGAGGTGACCGACTAATGAACAAGTGATAAATTTTAATGATCACATATAAATCAAAAATGATGGCAAAAATTACAGCATTGCAACGCATTTTAATGACCTTTAAAATCGCGAATCGGCTTAAGCGTTGTTTCTGAGAGAACGGTTCGTTTTATACAAAAAATGGTAATGAAGATTTTTTTATATGTCCCCATTCGAGTTACATCAGATTAAAAAAAATAAAGAAAATTCCTCTATTTAGGTAAGCCGATTTTGAACTTTAGAATTAAATTTTTTTCAACTTAATTTCTTTTGGACTTTTCACTTGCAAGACCGATGGTTTTTATTATCATAATATATGTTATAAATATCTTAAATATATGAAAATTTTTGACTGAGAAAGAAATAATGGTTAAAAGATGATTATTATATTGTTTAA